TCAGAGCACACACACCAAAACTCCAAGTTCTTAGGATCACCTGCCAGACCAAATTTAAGCTGGCTCCATTCCCATGACCTCTTAGACCTCATGTGGTCACTCTGCTCCAGCCATTCCAAGCACGCTCCTGCCTCAGGGGCTGTGCACAGCCTGCTCCAGATAATTCGGTCCCTGGCTGCCCAGTGAAGTCTTTCCTGACTCTGCCAAGCACCCACTCATCTACCACTTCCCCTGGCACATCTCTGCCTTATCTCTAAGGCATTTAACATTCCACCTAGCATATTAAAACATTTCAGTGGCCAATTCTGCCATGAAGGTAAAGGTCTTATTAGTTGTCAACATTTTCCCAGCTCCTAGACTACTAAAAAGCCCAGATTAAAGCTCATATTGAACAATGAACCAAATACAGGGCCTTGAACTCAGCCCTGTATTCGGAATGAGCCATCAAAGCTGTTTCTCAACCCAAACCCTAAAGCTGGCCACCAGAATTCCACTCCAACCTCCTCAGTTTTATAGAGTATCTGAACTCTTAGATGAGCCGCAATGCTCATCGGGTTCCTGGGCTCCTTTTCTGCCCATCACTTTCTTCTTTCCTTCTCCTTCCATCTTCAGCTCCCTCCATCTCTACCCAAAAAACGTGCCCACAACACTTACCATTACAGTTTCCAGTGCGTTGTTCCCCACCTCAAAAAGCACTCTGTCCCCTTTTATCATAAAACCACTCCAAAGAGTAGTTGGCAAGCTGTCCTCACTCCTCTTCCACGTCCTCCCCAATCGCTCGGGGTCTGGCTTCTGTCACCAGCACTCAACTGAAAAGATGTCTTTGAAAATCCCCAGTCTACCTCATTGGCCAGCAGGATGGGTTTCTGGTTTCTCTCCCCACCCCCATCTCCACAATCCCACCCTTTTCTCCTTCAACTCCTTTCCCAACTTGACTTTGATTGACACACTGCACCGGGCTCCTGTCACCACTCCGAGCACTCATACTGAGATCCTGCTATGCCTTTGCGTCCCTTGTGGCCATTTTCCTGAGTTTTCTCTCTTCTACATGCCTATGAGATGACCCCCCCCTCCAAGTTCACAGCATTAACCCTTAGGAGGAGATTCTAAAATCTGTAGCATTTCAAACCATACACCTCTATATACCTGGAGAGCCCCCATCACCTCAGCAGAACCTGCAACTCCATCTCCTATCATGTCAGCCTCTTCTCTCTCTCTCACCCTCTGTTAAGGAGGCTACACTCTTATGTTCACAAAGCCTTAGACCAGTGGCGCTCAACCTTCCTAAGGCTGCCACTGTAGGGAGACACCATCACCACTCCTCCTAAGGGCTGGCTACAGGTGTGCCTGACCATGCCTGTCAGGGCGTGGTCAAGGTGAGGTCAGGTTGATGTGGAATAGGTTTTTAAGTGGCTGCAAGCACATGGGAGACCCCTTCTCTCTGGCCTCCCTGCCTTGCGGCCCCTTCTCTCTGGCTTGCATTTGGCTGGTGTTTGTCTGAATAAAGATACCTTAACCTTACAGACTACGATCATCTTCGTTCTTGTTATGTGCCACACTTTAATATAGTCCCTCATGTTGTGGTGACCCCCCAACCATAAAATTGTTTTCAGTGCTACCTCATAACTGCCATTTTGCTACTGTTATGAACTGTAATATAAATATCTGGGTGCAGTAGATCTGCTGTGCAACCCCTGTGAAAGGACCATTAAACCTCTAAGGGGGTCACAACCCCTTAGGCCATCTTCTTCTCAGTGGTCCATTTGGAAGTGCGTTGGTTCTGCTCCCTTAGTTCTCGTGGCATCATCTATCTCTTCCATGACTGAAGTCAGTACTCTAATCCGGGGCTCCATCACCAGGTCTATCTGATAAGTATCCAGCATCTTCCAGGCCAAAGTCACTGCTGCTTGCTGCCTTCCTGCTAGGACCTCCCAGACACACCTCCGGAAATACCACTCTGACCATGGATCATTCTCCAGACTAAACCACCTAATGATTTCTTACATCACTGCTCAGCACATCCAATCATCTCAGTTTGAAATTTAAGACCATTCTGATACAGGATGGCAGCTGCCCTTCCTGCTCCATAGCCACTCACTGGTCTGCAAGCATGCCTTATGCCCTACTGAGAACCCACTCTACCCAGGAACCTCACTCACTTCCGAAACCACTATTCTCATCATGGCTGGATTGCATACTGCACTCCACTGCCGCCACCACCTTCCAACATCTCTACACAGTAATGATCTCCATTGCTCCCTCATGGAATTGTTTCCACGGCTCTTAACACAGGTATCTTCATCCTAAAATTCTAGCTCTCTCCTAAACCCGACTCCTTAAGGATGAGATGCACAGCTGTCATCGGATAAGGGCTGAAATCTCTACCTCTAGAAGCATCAGATATAGATCCAACCAATCACAGAACCAGCATGGCCAGATGGCCCTCCCCCTGCCCCACAACTCAGACTCTTATTTCCTTTTCTCGTCTTATTGCTCTGGCTGGAATATCCAATCCAATATTAGATGACAGTGGATGTCTATCTTAAAGAAACTGCCACTACATTATCAGGAGCTTAACACTGAAACAAGACAGGGGTGCGTGGGTCCAAATGAAATGAATTAGGACACAGTACTGGGGCACGGAGACCAGCCAAGGAGGAAAACGAACACTGGAGGTGTGAACTAGGGGGAGACGCCAAGTCAAGGGAGCCTCTCCCAGAGCTGGGCTTCCCAGGTAACTCCATGGATTCTTACACTCTGGCTTCTTGCACCAGAATGTAAACTAAGCAGAGTGTGGCAGTGCTCTGCTCCCAGAATGCTCTACACATTGGATCTTCCTGTGCCTTTCCCTGCATAAGCCACAAAGAGGATGCTGGGGATACTGTGAAAGCAGAACCTTCCATCACAAGAAATTCTGTTCCTGACAGAGCATGGGCCAAACAGGGAACTTTATAGGCCTGGTGACCAGATAAAACTGTCCCCTCTGAAAGCTCATCTTATTTCCTGGCTGAGTTGCTTGTATTCGATGGAGATTGGTAACAAGGGAACAGAGACATGGTGCCAACGATATTCTTACTCTTCCCTGTGACTTCATGGCAGCCAACACCTGAGTGGCTACAGAATACAGAAGTTGACAGTGAAACCTTTGGAAGCTGGGAGGAGAGAAAACCTGAATGGAGACCCTGCTCCATGACCGCCCTCCTCCCAGGCCATTAGCAAGCTATAGGACAAGGTTCCACACGGGGAAGAAAATTCATCTGCCCCATTCATCTAGAAGTGCCCTGGGTCTGTTCATCATTTCACTGGGGTGTCACTGTTCTTCGGCACCCTGCCACCACTCTAAAACATTGGAGGAGAATGATACACTGGGGGAACTCAGGGGGCCCCTCCTCTTTCTGAAGTAAAACTGGTAGGGGACAGTTCCAACTGACAGAGTGAGCAAGAGGCTGGCCACAGTCAGGTGCCCCATCTGGACCACCACACTGTGTATTTTGCACCAGAGTCACAGAGCTACATACAGGGCCAGGGCCTTGAGGCTCAGGTAAAGCTCTGAAAGGACAGCCCTCCAGGGAGCCAAGGCCCCAACAGCCACATTTTGGTTCTGTTTTTGCTTTTTTTTTTTTTTCATTTTTCCAGACAGGGTTTCTCTGTTTATCAACCAGGGCTGTCTTAGAACTGTAGACTAGGCTGGCCTCAAACTCACAGATACCTGCCTGTGCCCCTAGAGAGCTGGGATTAAAAGCATTTGCCACCACTGCCCGGCCATGGTCACTTTTTATGGTATAAATATTTCTATTGTGGCCCACTGTAAGCTGCCAGAGAGTAGAGCCAAGGGTGGGGGGTCTCTGAAGTTCAGGAGCAGGATCTTCATACCCTCATCCCAGCCTTGGGACCAGCCTCAGAGCCAACGGTCAGCTGAACTGCTTCCCCAAACCTACATCCATCCTTCCCAGGGAGGGCGTCTCCTCCTGCCTTGCAGCTGGCATGGTGACTCAGCTGCCCCTAAATTTAGGAAAAGGAACGGAGGGCAGAGCCAGCTGCCTGGCTTCCGCTTCTTCCCAAGAGACCCCACCCTGTCAGCAGAGGGACTGGGCACAAGACTCACCTCACCACCACAGTCCCTGGGCTACTCCTAGCTGGGCTTCACCTCACAACCAAGACAACCATTTTGTTGGGTGCAGGATTTCCCACCCACTTTGACTGCCAGGGGAGGCATCACAAACTGGGGCTGTGGGTTAGGGTATTCCATGCTTGTCCCTCCCAACATGCCCCTGACCCTGGCTCTTTCTTGGCCTTTCCTTCAAGCAGTTACTCTGCAGATCTCTCTCTTGAGTCACCCATACAGAGTAGGTCAAAGCAAGAACAGAACAGTTGAACTAGGAAGACCTTAGCCTCACAAGCCTCATTAAGTCACTATGATGGTAACATCAGACAGTCCTACTATTTCAGGGTACTCTCACAGTCTTCCTGGGATGAACTCCGAGGGAAATAACATCTAAACAACATCTAAAATCCTCCCTCTAGCCTTCTGCTACTGTCCCAAGGCCCTGAACTGTGAGTACCATGAACATTTTAGCAGTTACAGAGTCTCCTCTCTGCCTAAAGCATCTACCCCCCTAAGTCACCGCCTCCACAAAGCCTTCCCTGATTGCCTTAGGTGGTAAGCTTTGTACTGGGACCTTGGTTCTGCTCTGCCACTGCACAATTTGTCCTCTGTTAGAGCCATCTATGTACCTATTATTCCCTGACCAAACTGCAAACTCCCTAGGGACAGGCATGGGGTCCCAATGCCTGGCTTAGTGCCTAATAGATGACCTATACAGGAATGGATGACTGAGTGAACGTTCCCAAGATCTCCCCAGGCTGAAACAGTGCTTTCAAAGGTCCCTAACCTATGCTGCACCCAGCTCTCCCCACAAGAGACCACAGAGACCAAACAGGGGAGGGGATGGGGAAATGGGGAGAGGTTTCCCAGGTCTCATGGTCTCCAAGGCTGTTACCTGCTACCCGGTGGGCTACCAGCCCTTCCAGGTTCAGCGGCTCTTCCTCTGGAGTTCGTGAGGGGTCTGAAGTAGTTTCCTTTGGTGGGAGCTGAGGCTGAGTGATGAGACCAGGGAGAGAGGCCGGGGGCTCCTGAGGACCCGCAGAGCTATGGGGGCTTGGAAGGAAGGTGGAAGAGGATGGACTCTTGGGACAGAAACTTTGGTTGGATCCAGCTGGATGGAGCTGATAATCGTAAGGTGAGTAAGACCTGCCAGAAGAGACCAGCTCCGGGGTTCCCAGGGAATGCCCACTAGGGATATAGCCAGATCGGGACTGGGTCAGTGGGTGTGACTGGCGGGAAGAGCCCAAGAGGGGCTGGGAGGCAAGTGGGGAAGCCCCTGGCCAGGCCCCAGGGACACTCTGGGACTTATGAAGAGGGGCAGCCGCTGAAGCTGGCTCCAGGTCCAGCATCAACATATTGAGGGCTTCAATGGACTGCTCAATCTCCTTCTGGGAGGCTGCCCTTGGGAACTCTGGGAGAGCAGGTATAGGGGTTTCTGCTGATAGCTGGGGGCTAGGCTTGCTGCTGGTAAGACTCTGTAGTGGAGCTCTTTCCTGCTGGCGGGGAGGTGGGTGAGGCTGCTGCTGCTGCCATGAATTCAGCCCCCTCTGCACAGCCTCTCGGCTGCTGCCCCCCCGGGCTGGACTCGGCTGCTGCCCCCACGGGCTGGAGCTTGGGGCAGCTGGGGCTCCACATCTGGAAAGGACTGGGATCGGAAAAGACCACTGGGGTCATAGCCGCAGTGGGTGCTAGTCACTTGTTGTGACCAGGCTGGGTGGGGTCCCTCACGCTGGTAGCCAGCTAAACCCTCCTGAGCAGAGTAGGAAGGGCGAATGGGGGCTGAGTGACTGCTGTGGACAGGCACCATCCGGTTGGCAGACTCATAAGTGTAGCCTCCACCATTGAGCATAGGTTCTGTGGAATAGGGCTTGTCCAGACCATTAGTCAGTGGGGACATGGTCTCTGGGTATCCACTTTCGCTGGTGTTAGTGACCCCATCCAGGGAGGACAGCGTGCCCATGCTGCCCCCACTCTGCCCATCCTGGATGGGCAGCTCATCATCCAGAATGTCAGTCTCCCGTTCCGATGCCAGAGCCCCACCATTGACATGAACCTGGGCTGGGACCACGTGGCGGCCAGGGGAGGACACAGTTGGGCCCCCAGCTGGGTGGGACCTGAGCTGCTGAGCCCGGTACATGGCGCCTTGCTTCTCTCTATCTACACCAAAGCCGCTTAGCAGGCGATCGAGCTCCTTCTTCTCCTGGGGACTCAGGGCAGCAGGAGCAGTGGTAACCCCAGAAACAGGCTCATCGGTCTTGTCTGTCTTGGTGGAGGCTGTGGAGTTGCCAGAGTCGCTGCTCACAGACAGTGTGTGCTCCACGTGGTTGGGAGTGGCTGACAGGGCAGGCCGTGTGGTAGTGACAGGCCCAGAGCTGCCATTCAGGGAATCTTTCTTCTTCACTTTGGCATACAGACTCCCATCCAGTGGCCCTTGAGTGTGACCCACCACTTCTGCAAGGACAGCAAGAGAAACAGCAGACAGCAGATGTCAGCAAAAGGCAGTCACATTCATCAGTGATATCCCCTGCAAAAGGAGCTAAAGGCTCCCATCCCTTGAATCCCAACCTCTTCTCACTACCCTGAGGATAGCAAAGGGGAAATATACCAGCCCCCCCTGACCAAGCTCTTGGGGGAAAGAGCCCCCAGTTGCACTCAGCTGCAAGCAAGGTACAGTGTAAGCTGTTCAGGCTGGGCCTGGTAAGTGTCTAGCTGTGGTACATCACCAGCTTCCAAAACAGAACAGCACGGATTACTCCGCGGGCCTCAGCAACCTTCTTTTGAATATGAGGGCTAAGGAGATGGCTCAGCCAGGAAAGCACTTTCTGCACAAGAATGAGGAGCTGAGTTCAATCCTCAGCACTAACATTAAAAAAAAAAATAGATAAATCCCTGGGTCAAGCAGTTTAGCCAAATTGAATCAGCAAGCTACAGGTCCAGTGAAAGATGCTGGACACTCAATGTTGACCTCTGGCCTCCATGTACACACACACACACACACACACACACACACACACACACACAATAATAATAATAATATGAAGACAGTAACAGAATCATGCTGAATTGTCTAAGACAACCCCTATTCACTGAACCCAAGACACTTCCAACTGAATGAGCCAACACCCTATGGTAAGACAGATGCACTGGGAGCCATGACCTCTGTTACAATGAACACCATTAATTACTGAAAGGGGACATCCGGAGCCTACTCAGCCCCTACAGTACCCACTTCAGGAAGTTTCATCTGCTTTCATTCCTAGGAGTCCTGCCCTGGGCTAGAGGCAGCAGGGCCAGGAGACAAGGCATTACTTCAAACACAAACACAGGGGTTTTAAGTATGGAGACCCAGACCTCCCCTAAAGACAGCTTTCAAGCAGAGGAGCCAAGAAGAGTCCCAGAGGGGGGCTGTAGGATATAGAGGTATAAATATATAGACCCAAGCATTCCCTTCATAGAGGGGATCTGGGCAGTCCCCAGGGGACTGGGAAGGATCCAGGCATGCTCAGTGCTGGGCTGGGCAAAGAGGCTGAAGTCAAAGTTAAAGCTAAGACAAACCAGCCCTAGCCTTCCACAGTGTAGTTTAGCTCAATACAAAGAATTTGCCAGAACAGTTCAGACAATGTCATTCTTCCCTCCTACTGTCACATTTCCAGAAGTTTCTCCATATTTCTCCCAGAGCACTGTTCTATTCTTGTGGACCCTTAGTCCGTCACCAGCAGGCTTAACTCAGGACACATAGGACTCTAAGGAAGGGAAGGCAAGTCAGAGTGGGACTGCAGGAGGCTCTCCTAAACAGGCACTCAGATCCCTGCAGCTCCCCAAATGGGAACGTTGGACACTGGTGCTCCAGCAGTTCCCAGGCCAAACTACTATGGAGTAGAGCAAGGGAGATTATGGGCAGTGCTAGGGCCAGGCCAGAGCAGTAGTGGAAACATCTTAGGTAGGTATGAAGTCTTAGGGGTGTCCTTTTGTCTGCAGACAGCACTGGGGACCCCCCAAGAGCAACACTTTCTCTGATAGGAAAAAGTGAGTGCTGAGTGGCTTGGGGCCAGAGGACTGACTCAGAAACCAGGGCTGCCCCGCCCCTGTCCAGGCAGTTCAATGACTTCACACCCTACGGAGTCAGCAGACCAGCTCCAGCGCTCCCACCCCCACCCCCACATACCTCCTTTCCTGACTCTCCAACCCAGACCCTAGGTATCAGGGGAAAAGACACTTCCCAAAGGCTGCACCCACTCCAGCCAGGACCCTCCAGTGATACACAAAGCAGGACACACAAGAACCATGAGAAATACATATGCCACAGAAACCAGTCAGTCAGACACAGCAAGATGTGTCCACACAGAGAGCAGAGAAGCACAGTGGGAAAGCAGGGTCTGTTTACATGTCCAAACACCAGTCACTGCTAGAATGAAGGATCCCAGACATGTCCCTAGGCACTTCACACATGCAGTTTTGCAAGACCTGTTATTGTGCTTCTAGGTAAGATGGAGAAACAGAGGCAAAGATAAGCAAAGGAAACCATTTTCAAATATGTGGTATCTGTGAAAGCTCTCAGTGAGAACTAATTTACTTTAAAAATCTGGATTCCACAACTTTTTTCTTACATTACATTACATTACATTACACATACACACACACACACACACACACACACATACACACACACACACACACACACACACACACACACACGAGAGAGAGAGAGAGAGAGAGAGAGAGAGAGAGAGAGAATAAACACACAAAAGGCAGGAATAATCCAAAATAAATATTTAAACTTAAAGCCGCAAACACTTCAAAAAGCACAAATGATCTTGGTGCACCCAAGAATTATCCCTCAGGCGCAAAGCAAGCCACTGAAAACAAACCCTCATACAGAAAATTATGGCCCAAAACAAGTGACCATACGACCACAAAACAGGAATGCCTCCAGCAGTGCTCCTGTGTGAGAGAGGGCCCACACGTCACAGGCCACCACACGTCACTCAAGAGCTCTCAGAGATGCTGGCCAGACAATAGATTCCAAACTTCCACACCTGCTCCCCAGGGGCATAAAGTTACACCTCTAGCCTCAGTTTCCACTGAGACTTTAGGATCTACACAAGCAACCAGCCCTAAGTGACACAGCTGCACGTTGTGCCTGACAGCCACGGCTCCCAGGACTATGGCCTGAGAGTGCCACCAGACTTCTAGAGACTTGGATGGGCCCAGCATAGCTGCCTCTATGTTTTCCTTGCCGTTATCTCCAGAAGAGTAAAGTATAGGACAGGAGGCCTCCCTCTGGCCCTGTCTCTATGAGAACTGGTTGCCTATTTACTGGCAGCTTTCCGGCAAGGACAAATACCAAAACCAAGGGCTGTCATCCACAGAGATTTGTGAAGTGTTCTCTGGAGGGTGGGTCCCTTGGGCCAGCGGACAGGAAGGGTTGCCTTCCCTCCTCTGAGCCTAGGCAGCTGCAGACCCTCCACACAGGCAACAAAACAGAGAGGCCACTGTAGCCCTAAGGGGGGCTCCTCTTGGGCTCTACACAGCTCCACCTGCCCCACCCTGCAGCTTCTTCACTCTGTTACAGCGGCCATGAGAACCACTGGTGATGATCAGATCTGAGAGCATCCAAGACCATCCCAGAATCTACCCAGGAGTCTGGAAAAGAAGATCATTCCCCAATACACACAGGATCGCGCAGGCTGATTCTCAGCACCTGACCCCCTGACCCCTCCTGGCTCCTCCTTTCCCCTCTTGGCCAGTCTTCACTCTGCATTGATTTTGAAAATGTCAATATTAAACTTGTTCTGCCATGTAACGAACGCATCTCGCTTGGGCTATTGTTCTCAGCAACGTCTGGAATAGCAACTGCCAAGCCACTGAAAATCGAAGAGGTGTAAATTATTTAATTAAATACTGCTTGTGAAATACAAAGGCAAACATCTCTTGCTGTCCTCCAGGAAGGGGCTAGTTGCCCCTGGCTGCCTTCTGCTGGCCACAGTGGCCACGCCCTCCGAGCTATCATAGTACCTTCATTGAATGGTCCTTTACCTTGTAACAAGGACAAAATCAAGGGCATGCAGGCCTGTCCAGGCCCCAGCGGGGCTCAACTGATGCCCCAATGAGCAATACCCGACCTGAGGAACACTCTTACCCTCCTCCTCTTCGGGACACCGGGGTCAGTGCCTCCAGCCCCCCACGCCAGGGCACACATTCTCTGGCTCCCTCTTCCCACCACAGTCACATTAAAACCTATTTAGCGGGACCACAAGAAGCCGGAACACAAGGCTGGTTTCAATCCATCAAAGCAGGAAGGGCAAAAGAGAAAGGCAGACACCAGAGGATAGGAGTGGGACAAAGCGGCAGGGAGAAGAGAGGGGCCTGTGAGGGGCTGGGGGAGGGGTATCTAAGGTTCACAAGCTGAGGAGTCACCAGGCTCAGCTCATCCAAGCCTAGCAGCCAACACCAGCATTTCATGCAAAGCCCCCTGAAAAGGGAAGACGGCCATGACTCGGAGAGGTCTGGTATAGAAGAAGGGTCTAGCTGGGAGGGGTCATGGGTCCTGGCCAAGTGACAACATAATAGATTAGCAACGTCAGACACCCAGATTGCCATCAATCCCGGGCAGCAAGCCCTTAGGCCTCAGAGTAGGCTGGCTGGGTATCCTCTTCTGTCACGGGCTGTACCCTGTCCATTTTTCTAGGAAATTGACAAGTCCACAGTGGAACCAAGGCCCCACTCGCTTCATCTGACTGTCTGTTCCTTCCAGCAGCCACTGGGAGAGGAACTCAGCCCTGGATGCTGTTTGGTTGCATGCAACAAGGGGCCCTTGCTCCACCAGGGCAGGCATCCAGATGGGCGAGTCATGGTTTTGGAAGGATCTGAGGAAAATCCCCAACTGATTTGGATATGGACCCACGCGCTGGGGCTCCCTCCCAGCAGCACCCTAAGCGGAGGTATGCCAAACACTAGCAACAGTACCTCCACAGGCCAGTACACAAATGAGGCAAGGCACGTCCATCTGACACACCCAATAGGAGAAAAGGAGTGGAAGGTGCTAAAGTTTTTTTGTTGTTGTTTTTGTTTTTGTTTAATTCTGATGCTCAGGACTTTTCCAGGAATTACCAAGAATGCAGATCCCAGGGCCCATCTGAAGGATTCTCCCTGGGAGGCCAGAGCTGGGGCTGAGCCTTGCTCTGTAAACATGCTATTTGTAACTTTGGGATCTGAGATTTGGATCCGAATGTGGAGCAGGGAAATGTTGCCCGTAGAGACATCAGGACAGACAGGCAGCCATGCAGAGATTGAGACGCTGGCCAGACTGGCTCTGAGAAAGGCACCCACTTTGTAAGGAAGAACTCCCAGAGGAGAAACCTAACCTGAGCAGCCAGCAGGTGTGTATGGGAGAGTGAATGATTTATGAAGGGCTTCAGAATGGGGCCCTGAGTGATAAAAAGTCCTTTGGG